CGCTAGTCGCCTAGAGGTTCTCCTTGCATACCATTCAGCATACATACCCACTGTATTTATTTCTATTTATAAATTTATTGTTGACGACGGATGACAATGAGCGTTTCGACATGAGAATTACATAGTATTGAAAAGGCTATAATTATCTAGCGCTCCTCCTTCCGCACTTCTTACTGTACTCACTCCTCCCCCAACAACTCTGGAAAGCGAGTTAAGGGGTCTTCGTGGAGTAAAGATTGTTTATTGCCTCCTGCGGATGCCAAGCGGATGCACGATCCAGCCAAAACGGTATCATATCCCGGTCCCATCGGGTTTCGAACTGCGGTGGTTTTCTTTGGCGTCATCGCAAATGCATACGCCTTAGGCCTCAAACATCCGCCATTTTCCGAGTGAGGCATATCTTTTTTTTTAATTGAATTGAGGCGCAGTGGAGCTGCCAAAGCCATCGGGTCACCTTCACAGCAATGGTTACTTCAATTAAGCATACGTAGTGAAAGCGACGGTTGCGATCGCCATGATAACTAGCTAATGAGCCCATTGAAGGATAATTAGCTCCCGTCTCTAGGACGCACCATTCTCGATCGTACGTCGTGTGGATACGAAGGCAGCGCTGAGTGCGGTGCGGGATTTCCCATCGGCAGCAGAGAAAACCCGGGGTCGATGGTATTTTTGGTATGCATTGAGAAAAGCCTAGCAAAAGGATAGGGGCCAGGTCGGAAGTCTGGTTCAAGCTTGCCCTTCACAGTAATATGTACTGCATCTTGAGCGGCGTGCCAAGCGCATGGTGCGTGTGGGTGTTGGCGCCCGTCGAGCGCCACTGAGTTTGAAATCGCAATGATGCGTGATTGGCTGATCGAATTTATTTACAGCTATGATCAAAGATTGGCACAAACGGCTTATCTGGCTTCTGGCCAGCGTGTGCCTGGCAGCACGACACACGCTCGCCTGGTGCCCTTCGTCCATCTCCAAAACGATACTACAAAGCTATGTTCTCTTAGCTCTCACGCGCTTTGACATAGCCAATTCGTCATTAAGCGCTGGGAACGCACGTTGAGCAGTGTAAGTACACTACGTTGTTCTTTCTTTTACAGCGTCCGTTAATTACGGGCGCTTGACCAATTAGTTGTACCTTTATAAACGGAAGAAGGGCGAATGACTCACGGCCAATTATAGTTTCCGATTCCCTAATACCCCAACTCCACTCCACCATTACACCCCTACGACTCGCCCACCGTGCCTCCCCCACGCAAGATAGGAAAGCTTTGGAAGGGCTTGATGAAGATCGTCAAGCAGAGGTTGGGTGTGTTTAGGCTGAAACGGAAGGACTTGGAGCAGCAGGAGGTTCAAAGTCCGCGAGGATGGGTGAATGTCGGTACGGAGGGGAGGATTGCGGAGGTGAAAGTTGGGGAGGGGGAGGTGGAGGAAGGGGAGGTGAAGACGGCGGTGAAAGAGGAGGAGAAGGAGGGGAAACCAAAGGTCGACGGAGAGCCAAAGCCGTTGGGCTCGGAGACGCCTCGAAAACCCAAGCGCAAGGCTTTGTTGATCGGGATACAGAACTACGACCACGTCGAGAGGCTGAGAGGACCGCATCAAGACGTATTGGATATGCGTCAGTTGTTGATCGGTGGGTCCTTCCTTCTTTTTTTCCACTCTAACTCGATTCGACTGACGTCGGTGTACACGGTAGATCATTACGGATACGATCCCGATGAGATATGTTTATTGATGGATAAGGATGGTTTGGAGGAGGATATGAAGCCTACGAGGGATAATATTGTATGTCCTCTTTTCTTTTCTTTTTTCCACCTTTTTCTTTTTGCTGATGAAGGGAAATGGTAAGATGAGAAGGATGGATGAACTGGTGGAGGACGCGCGTTCTGGGGATCGGTTTTTCTTTCATTGTACGTTCTCTCTCTTTCAAGCGGCGGTGTATAAGTATGCGGTCTGACGTGGAATGTTGAATAGTTGCAGGCCATTCGACACAACAGGATACAGATAACCTGTTGGAAGAGGAAGATGGGAAAGATGAATGTACGTCCTCGTTAACCATTCTTTCCTTCTTGCTCTGTCACTGATACATACATATGTTGATCTAGTCATCGTGGCGATGGACAATGAGTTGATTCAGGATAACGTCCGTCTTTCTTCCTTTCTTCCTTTCACGGGGTACATAGACTTGGTGCTGACGTTCACTCTAGGTTCTACGAGAACGTCTCGTTGCTCCGCTTCCTATTGGGAGTTCACTCGTCGTATGTCTTTTTTTCTACTTTGCTTTGTGCTGTTCCACGTTGATGAGATATCTGCAGGCGGTGTTTGATTCGTGTCATTCTGCCTCTTTGCTTGGTGGGTTTTTTTGGTTTCCAACGTCACTTTTTCATTCCCGATACGCTCCTTCCGTTATCCTTCACTCTCAACACGCTTTTTTCTCCCAACGCACGACTGCCCTCTCTCTCGTTTCAGATACGCTCCTTCCTTCCTCATTCGTTCCCGGCATGCTCCCCTCTTCATCTTTCAAACATTTCTTCTTCGCTCCTGGCACCTCCTCCTTCCCTTGTACCCCTTCCTTCTTCCTTGCCTTTGATGTTTCCTTTCATCATCTTTTCTTCCTTTATCTTCAAACCTCTTCGTCCTCTTTCCTCTCTGTTTCACTCCCAACACACTTCATTCCCAACATGTTTCCTCCATTATCCTCTGCTCCCAGTTCCCTTTTTCCTTTCTCCCGCCTCCTTCGCTCCTCTTCCACTTTCCTGATCCTCCTCTTCGCCCTCTTATCTATCCACCCTTCCGTTCGCATGCTGATGCCTCTCACAGACCTCGAACATTTCCGATGCAACCGCGTCTACGTCCCCTGGATGAACAAAGGCAGACGAAGGAGTAACTCGCGGTGGAACGTTAACGGTAAGCCTTCATTCCAATTTCCTCCCCTTTTCCCGTCTCTTATATCGACCATCTCATAAAGTCAGGAGACAAGCAGTGCCAGTGGGACCGCCTACCCCACTGGGCCCTAAAACTCCTGCTGCCAATCAGGGTCCTACGAGTCCTGTTCGGAATGCTCCTCAGAGCCCTGCGGGATCTCAGCCCAAGAGCCCGATGCATACGACGTTCAAGCCGTCCCCGCTTAATCCTGATGTTCTTCCTCAAAGTCCTGTCCGGAGCCCTGCGGGATCTCAGCCCAAGAGCCCGTTGCATACGACGTTCAAGCCGTCCCCGCTTAACCCTGCTACGTCTTCACCTGTGACGTGTACGTGTATATGTACGTGTCCGCCTTGGGTGAAGCAGGAGTTGGAGTTGGAGGCGGGGGAGCGGTATGCTTCTTTGGCTTCTTTTTCGGAAGTTTCACTGGACGGTGGTGAGACGTATTCCTCAACCGATAACGCAAACAACTTTTCCCCGTCTCCCATCATGTTCCCCTCCCTACGACCCGACGCTCCCTCCTCTTCCTCCTCCTCTTCTCCTGCTACCTCACCCACCACTTCCCAGCCACTTCCCTATCCCGATGCCCGTCCATGCAGACGCCCACACCCTCAT